CTGAGAGAAGGAGGGAGAGGAGGAGGGCAATTGGTGACAAAAAGACCCACGTTCGACGATGAGGAGGATTTTGCTGCTCCCCCCGGGAGCCGACTCGTAGCGAGAAGTTGCTGGTGTTGCACGTCTCTCGTGGAGAAAGGATTGCCATCGAGAGGGAGAATCGAAACACGTGAGATCTAGTCGAGAAACAGAGAGAGAGAGAAAGAGAAAGCAAGAGAGTGAGTAAAAGTCTGCTTGAATGAGGATGACTCGCCGAGGGTGGCGGGAATAGATGAACGATGTGCGTGGCGATCGATAGTCATTGAGTACGCACGGGAGACGCCGGTTCCTCGAGCTCTCAAGGACGTCGAGGTGGTAAAGGGAAAAATAAGAAATATCGAAAAAAAGAAGGAGGAGGAGGATCGAGCGAGTGCGTCGTGCGCGCAAATAACGCGAAGGTGGGAGGACGAGCGCGGGGGAAGGGAAAAGGAAAAAGAGGGAAGATGCAGGCGACCGATCGGCGATCCAGAACGACTGGCGATCGCGCCGCCGCCGAGAATGGAGGGTAAATTTATCCGCCGCCAGTGGAATGCGGCAGAAGCGAGCAGGAAGAGCACAGCACGACGCCGCGCCGTATCGCAGTCGCGCTTCCGGTGTAAATTTAACCGCGATGATTCGCACGCTTTCGCAATTAGCGGCTATTATGGCGACCGAGTTCAATCGGAGGTTCGTTGAAAAGTCGCGCGAAGATTGCCCTCGCCTCCACCTTCCTCCCTTCCCCCTCCTCCCCGTCCGACGTCGCCTCCTCTTCCCCGTCGCTCTCGGCTCGATCACCTGTGAATCGCGCGAGGCTGTTGCTCGCCGCGTTTTCGTCTCGCGACTCATTCGTCCTCGAAATTTACGCAAACGTCACTCGAACTTAACTGCACCCGGAAGATATGATCTTATTCTTGGCGAGATTCTCTTGTGGTACGAGCTCCATCGAAATACTTTTCGTTTCAACCGAGCATATCGTTTACTCGCTTTAAGTAAACAATACTCGTTTTAAGTGAAGAGAATTGTGATTTAAATGGTCACACCACTCTACTCTCTCTTAAAGTGAATCAGTGAATAGTCACTGATAAGTATAGCACTGAGTAATTTCAGTACTGTACTTACAGCTGCAAATCAGTGAATATTTACTACTTTCAATGATGTTTTACTGATTCACTTTAAGAGAGTAGCATCCGAAAATTAAGCGTATTTTTGGAAATTTTTTGTGGGCAAACAAAGAAATGAATCGAAAATCCGTTTGGAAGGCTTTATTGTACATATCTTAAAGTGTATATTTAAATTTTTATGTTAACATATATTACAAAATGGCGGCGCTAGAGCCTTGTCAACTGAGCGTGTTTTTTGGAACGAGGCTCCGGGGTTTGCAGTATAAATGTTGATCTAGAACAAAAGACCAAAATTTTCCGTAATCTACATGCCAATAGCTAGAGAAATACGTACGGGATTTTTTAAATATTTATTTTTATATAAAAATGGCACGCATTTGAAGAAAAAGTTTCATTTTGTACCCTAAAAATTTCGTCGAAAATTGTTTATAAAATGCGTAATTTTTAATATATCAAAAAGCCCGTACGTACTTCTCTAGCTATTGGTATGTAGATGACGGAAAATTTTAGTTTTTTGTTCTAGATCAACATTTGCGACTCTTATGCTGCAAGCCCCAGGCCCCGTTCCGCTCATGTTGACAAAGCTCTAGCACCGCCATTTTGTAATATATGTTAACATAAAAATTTGATTATATACTTTAAAATATGTGCAATAAAGCCTTCCAAACGGATTTTCGATTTATTTCTTTGTTTGCTCACAAAAAATTTTCAAAAATACGCTTAATTTTCGAAAAGCGGTGTAACTCCTTAAGTAAACAATATTCTGTTTAAATGAAGAGAATTGTGATTTAAGAAAATATGTTAATGACACCTAAGAAGTACTCGTTAACTTCTGAATATTTTGTTTCTCAGTGCATGTACATACAGACACACACAAGGGAATTCCGCTAAATATCAGATTGTATGTTTTTGAGCGTGAACGATTCAACTAATCGTAGAATCCCCTGAGTTGGAGAACGGAAATTCAACGGGATCTCCTATTAACCTCAGATAACGTTCGCGTTCGCTGATTAGTTGGCGATTAATTTGCGGATCGACCGTCGTTGCCGTCGTCGTCGTCGTCGTAGTTCGAGAGCGATGAATAATATCGCGCGGAACTTAATAACGTTCGGCCGCGAAGGCACACTAAATGCTCCTCGTACACCCAGCCGCGTTATTAACGTGTTCATTTTGTTCGCGCTAGAGAGATGAATACGCTCGTTTGCATTTAGCGCGATTGTTGCATCGATAGCTCAGACTAATTCCCGCGACATTAGCACGAGATATTTATTGGCAGAATTATTGAATTCTCGATGCTGGAGGGACGAGGGGGAGGTGAAGAAGAAGCATTATCGCGCGTTAATAAGAGCTGATTGTGCTCGATGCCAAATTCATTCGCCGTTGCGTTTTGGCGTATGTGCCTGCGTGTGTGTGTGTGTGTGTGTGTATTTTCACGAGGCGATCAGTGCGTTAGGATGATGCTGTTCGCAACAAGTTACGAATAACACTTGTTGTGGCACGTCGCGCGCAATAACGCCGTCGATGATAATATTTTCCAATCCAGCGCGCATTATTCGTGCGCGGCCGTAAAGCGACTCTATCACTTAATAATCCGACCATCGGCGCGGACAAGTGACTCATGGTGTAACGCTGACCTATAGAAGCTCGTGTGATTCATAGCCATCCGTTTACTTTTGCAAATTATCCGGGTGCTTCGCGCACGACGTGATAATGAGACGTGGCTTTTTTCCCAATTGAGCCGGAACAGTTTTTCTCGTCGCTCTCTCGACGCGATTTACGCGGCGGCAATTCGAGACTGCTTATATTTAGCCCTCATTTAAAGCCGTAATTGTGCCACGGACATTTCTCTCATTTCTTAAAAGCGTTTCAGGTTATTTCATTTATTTACTCATTTAATTTCATAAACGGGAGTATTAATTCAGATTAGTGTCGGAATTATTTTATTGGAGGTGTAACTGGCGGTTAGGTATTGTGAAAACGTAGAAGTAAAAAATATACGCATTAATTAAGTGAGTTTACTTAATAAAGAAGAGTCGTTCCACATAAACGCGATCATTGGATGCTAGTAAACCAAAAATGATATGATTGTCTTCTGCAAATTTGGTGTAATACGACACAGGATGTCCGACAATTTATTGTCGCGGACAATCATGCGACAATTTTCTTTAGTTACACGGAGAAAAATAATTTGCTGGACCAGCAAATTTTCTGTTGGTCTAGCAAAATCTTTTCGTTATTATATGGACAACAAAAAGATTGTCTAAGAGTAAAGACCTTTGCAGAATGCCAGGCAACAGGCGATAGGAATAGGCATTAGCCAATAGGAAAAGGGAATAGAAATAATTGACCGAATTTCTATTCCCTGTTCCTATTGCCTGGCATTCTGCAAGGGCTTTAATAACCACTATTTGCTAGATATAATTTGCTGAACCTACAAATTATTTTGCTTTAAGAACCATGTTGGGTTTATACAGGGTATAGCAAAAGTACCGGAACGGCAAGATAACTCGGCGGGGGAGCATTTTAGAGAAAAATGTTTCGAATAAAAGTTGTAAGGCTTAAAAAGTCGCATTTAATGACAGTAGTTTGACCTAAGATGACGTCGCCAAGGTCAGGACAAGGTCAACTTTGCTTTTTTAAATAGAAATACATATTTTTTATTACGGCATTTTATTCTACGTGAAAAAGCAAACAACTTTTGCTTGAAAAAAATTTTTTATACGACCTCTATTTTCTAAGATATTTACGTAAATATCTACAAAATTATTGGTTTCAATAATTTTTTACTTGAATTCTATCAACTTTACCGAAAAATATCAAGAGATAAAAATTGCTTATTTTGTTTTCAAAGAGCTCTGAGAATTTTTTTAGAATTTTATATTAATTTTTTAGTACTGCATTTTCTTGCATTTTCTTGAAGTACTAAAAAGTTAACACAAAATTAATGTGGTTCTTAGGATAAATACACTCAACAAATTTTGTCTATCCTGGCAACGAAACTACTTCTGCTCTGATAACGAATAATTTGTAAAATTAGTTACGTCAAAAAAACTTATTTCATGTCACTATAAATGCAGTAGCAGCGGCAATTTTGCTAAAAGCAAAATTATTTTTCTCCGTGAGCAATAGAAGAATTTTGTGCTTAGTTTGATGAGCTGTACTTTACACCGCGGCTGTGTCGGACACCGCGTATAATATTCTCGTGATAAAATGAAATTTTGCGAGTTTGCTGCTGAGAGTACTTAAAAATAGCCATGAAGCAGTCCATCATTCGCCATCAACCTGAACATTTTCCAATTGGCATTTTTTAATTGACATTTCCAATTGACATTTGCGAACAAAGTGCGTAATACGATTTATGAAGCGGGTTTAGTTAAATATACATGTGTGTGTGTGTGTGTGTGTGTGTGTGTGTGTGTGTGGTGGAGTTCTACATGTTTTTTTGCACGAGAGAAAGAGAACGTCATGAGTGTGTTGTGTCTGTTTACAGAGTGTACGATGTTGGAAGGTGGACGTGCAGTGATCTGGCTCCTAGTATCAGCCCTTCGAGCTGCACGTCACCCGAAAGATTCACGTACTAACCCAGTTGCACCTGTGTTTGAACCCACCAGTTGCAGGGTACTGCATCGTAACCCCATGACGCCTTTAACACATGGCCCGCCTAGAGAGTAAGTGTTTTTTTCTTTCACAAAATTCTGCAAGGTTTGTGTCTATCTTTTTGTCTCTCTTTCTCTCTATCCTTTTTGTCTCTTTCTCGTCCGCGCGCAACCACGATTTACGCGCACGCACACACAGACATCAACCCACACGCACATCTGCACACGAGAAACGAAGCTGTCGGATCGCGTAAGCGTACTGGAAACAAACTCGAGCTCCTTCGAGTTTACGGCACGACGCGGTCAGGCGTACTGTTTGCCGACGCAAGACAGAGTCGTTGGCCGTGGAGAGAGAGAGAGAGAGAGAGAGAGACAGACTTCGTTGTGTTCATCGATGTTGATAAACTCCGTCGTGGAAGTGTCGTCGGCGACGATCATTCGCCCAAATACTTCCCCGCGTTGTAACCTTTCGTTAATGCCGACCTGCTAATCTCTGTCCCGTGCGTTTGTTCCATCCAAGACACTCAACATCGTAATCAGTCGCTATAGTAGACATCGCGAGATCGCAAAGTCTCGAAATCCGACGTAAGTAACCGCGACAGTAAGTAACCGTGATACACGCTCGGTGCAAAGGCGTTGGGGAGATCCTCCAACGTCAAAGGCGCCCAACTCGCGTTAATTTTCGTGGGAGTAGAGAAGCGGGGGGCGAGCGAGAGCATGAGGAGGAGGAGGAGGAGGAGGAGGAGGAAGAGTAATTTAATCACTGGCATATTTGCTGATTTCAGTACCGAGCATAGTGGTGTATAAAGGAAGCAGGTCGCAAGATCGACCTGAGAGTCCCACGGTGGTGGTGCGAGGAGGAATGCCCTCACTGCCATCCTCCAGGCAAGGCCTCGCCGTAAGTGGCTCCGGTGCACCTCACCAGAACGCCTCGGAATCGGATATGATAGACGGGAATGCCAACCCCAACATCGGCACCGCCCCCGCATCAAACTCGCTCCATCATCCCGCGCCCTCCTGCCCGCCCGACAAATCGGACACCGAGAGCAAGAACTTTCGTAATCGGGTGTGTGTACTTGCGCTCACCGTCGACTGTTGCGCCGGATCATCGGCGGATTGTGTTTGTCAACGCGCTCGCGTCTGCTCCTCACTCGCCCTCTTTCGTTTTCTCCCGCTGGAGACTTTAAGACGCTTCTCTCTTATCTCCCTCTCTTTCTCGAGGAGGAGAAGATCCAAAGAACTGTGTCTTAAATCTTTCAGTGGGAAAAAACGAAAAGTTACCGAGTCGCCGTGAAGTTCTTAGCTAGAGGCGAGAGAGAGAGAGAGAGAGAGAGAGAGAGAGAGAGAGAGAGAGAGAGAGAAAAAGAAATATCAAACGTCGGGAATAATGTACGTTTTTATTTTATTCATGTCCTTTAAGAGTTCAAGATATGATGTTGAATAATAAACACGGAGTTTAACGTATTTGTAACTTGGCAATCGATATATAAGCGGCCACACGTACACATGTGGCTCGCGTGTGTGAGAAACACGTATGATGCTCGATCAGTCAGTGGTAGTGGTCGATCGCGAAACGAAGTAAGAGTTTTCGCCGTTTGCAGACAAACACGAAACTGAAGTTGTTGGTCAGAAGCCATGCCATGAGAGAGTCGACGTCTCCCCCGCGGGAGCCGCACAACGGTCCACCGTCGCCGCACAGTCCACAGTCGGCGGACGCCGAGAAGAAAATCGTGTGCAGCCTTTCGCCGAATCCCACCGGCGCCAAACTCAACAACAACGAGTCGATGTTCAACAGCAATCTCTGTCCCGCTCAATCCCCCAAGCAAATGCGCCATACGGCGACTTCACCGACCTGCCGGGCCCCGTCGCGAAATGGTAAGCACATCTTTCATTCTCTCTCTCTCTCTCTCTCTTAGTTGTCATTCTAATGTTCATATTTTCCTTTCCATATCATTTGTTTGTTCCTGTTATTTCTTCCATACGTAACTTATGTTTTTAGAGGATTGATCATGGAATGTTAAGGGAGTATTCTAGCGTGAAGGCCCGATTTTATTAGGGAATTAATTTTAAGCAAATGATTAGACTTATAGAGTTAATGTTTTGTACTGACATTTATTCATCTTTGAAGAAACATGTGAAATTTTGTCAAAGCTTTTTATTCAAAATTGGAGAAAATACGAGTGGACGAAGCAGGTGACGCCGTCTTCCATCGGACGTGTTGATTGACGCCGTCCTCGTCGTCTGAAATAAACGAAATTGCTTTTATTTTGTTCTTTATGAATGTGGTTATCGCCCAAACTAGAATCTTTTTGATATCTTTAAAATTACTATTTTTCTAGACCGCAAAAAGTCAAAATTTTTTAGTAAAAATCAGATTATTATTTTTCAAGCGCCGCTATTTTGCCAATTTTTCTTCAAATTATTTAATTCTAGTTCAAGCGATAGCCACATTCATAAAGAACCAAATAAAAGCCAATTCGTTTATCTCAGATGATGAGGACGGCGGCAATCAACACGCCCGATGGAAGACAATTTTACGGCGCGTGATCTATTTCGTCCACTTGTATTTTCCCCAATTTTGAATAAAAAGCTTTGACAAAATTTGAGATATTTCTTCAAAGATGGATAAATGTCAGTACAAAACATTACCTCTGTAGATTTGACCATTTGCTTAAAATTAATTCCCAAAATCGCCTTGAAAACGGGTCTTCACATTAGAATACCTTCTTGATAAGCACTCTCATCTAACTCTACATCACGCACGCGCGATTAACACTGGCGGATCGTTCAAGCCTCGCGGTAATCGCGACCGTCAACTTTGTGCACAGGTCAATCTAGTCCCTCTCAGGTACACTCACCAAAGAACATCACTTCTCCGACTAACGGCAATAAGTTGGAGAACCATCGCTCGAAGATCACGAGCTCGAATATCATTCAGAAATGCAATAACTGCGTGAAGAACAATCAGAGCGACCGGCCGGGTCTACTGCAGACCCCGGTGTCGCCCTCCAAGTCCGGCCAGGCGCTGCAGCACTCGCCGAAGAGCACCAATCTGGCGCCGAACGCGCAGAACAACCAGCACAAGTCCGAGCAACGCAGGCCGAACACGTTGAACATCTGCAACAATCAGTGCTCGGCGCAGTGCGGCAACACGCTCTCGGTGAACAGGCCGGCCTCCAGGCACAAGCTGAGACACCAGAATTCGTCCCAGGGGAGCTACGACAGCGCGTCGCCATGCCTCTCACGCGGTACGTCGGTCGAACGAGATATCTTTGTCATTCACTCGATGTTTTTTCTGACTTTTCATACGTTCCTCGTTAACACGTTCCTCAATCTCATTGCGCTTCCCGTTGATTGATTTTGCGGGGTCATTCCCGCACTGTAATATCAGCGCGTTTCGTTGAATTACATATAAAGTTTAATTAATTGCATTTGAAAAGTCAATTGCACGCTCAATAAAGAGAGCCAATTAAACGAGGCAAAAGAGATACGCGTCTCGAATTGCCATTCATTTACCTATATCTTTCATAATTCGACTGTCAGTTAAAGCTTTCGGACAATCAAAGTAAATTATCACGGTAAATCAAAGTAAATTATCACAAAATTGACGTGTTAGTCTTTATTAATCTCATTTAACTCATCAAAGTCCATAATTATTTGACGAACACATTTAATTAGAAGATCAGTTTGTTGGCTACAGATCCCAGATTGGTGTTAGAATTATTTTGAAGCATAGGTGTAATTATAGGCGTAAGTATAGGTGCCACTGTGTAGAGAATCAGCTGCTGGAAAAATGAAAACGTGAAACTACATATCGATCGAGTGATTTTATTTAATAAAAAAGAAACGCCCTATATATAGATATGTGTTAATCGCGATGCATTTGCAGATAGCAGCACGGAGTTGTACACAGACAGCACCGGAATTGATCTGGAGCAGTTTATCGCGGAAACGATAAACCGCAATCAGAAGGATCGCACGGTGCTGCTGAAGATCGAGAAGGACTTAATTGAGTTCGCCAAGGACCGGCAGAAGGTCTCCCATAAATTTCCGAATATGTCGTCATACAATAGAATGCTGGTTCATCGTGTGTCGGCTTACTTTGGTATGGAACACAACGTGGATCAGTCGGGCTTGAGTGTTATTGTCACGAGGACGAAGAATATGCGAATACCGGACACTCGTTTCAAGGAACACATTAGAGACGATTTGATCTTGTCGGAGGAGCCACGCAGGAGCATTCTAAAGAGGGACTCAAGCTCGTTTGAGGACAGCTTCAACTTCAAGTCGCCGGACAGGCTGTCGGGCGACTATTGCCGGCGAAGCAAGAGCTTCGAGGAACGCGAGGAGGAATACGAGCGCGCCAGACGGAGGATATTTAAGGACAGCAGCGGCGAGAGCAGTGAAATCACGTCCTGGCCGTGGTCCTCGTCGGAGAGCTCGGACGCGTCGGCAAGGTATCGCTTGCTACACCCTTCGGATCACTTAATTAGGTAAAGCGACTTTCGCGTCCACGTTCGTTCACACCGTTCACTGCGCATAATGGTGCACCTTTTACCCCTTGTTGGATTTCTCTTGATGTGATTGTCGTCACGTGTGCTGTTAGAATACCGTTCTAACATTAGGAATCATTTTAACGTCGTTAGCATCTTAGTTTACGGCTGTACAAATAGTCTGTAACGCGTCCCCAGGCAAAACCGGCTATTGAAAGGCGAATCCTTTGACGGGAGGGACTCGTTCCGCGGTGCAGTGTTACGCCCCTCCGTCTCCAAGTCTTTCAGTTTCGGTGGGTACACTAAGGGTATGCTATCGAGAGGGGATAGCGTCACGTCCACGCACAGCGCGGGAGCTCGCCTCATGAAGCAAGGTATATATCTCTGTCCATGCCCCTTGCATCTTCATTTCCCGGCCCTTCAGTGCCACTCACTCACTTTCTTCCCTCTGTCTCGCGCTAATCATGAATTTCTCTTGTAGATTCGGGGGCTAGTATGTGTTCACGTTTGAGTCCATCGAGCAGCGGCTACAAGTCACAGAGCCAACGCAGCGACGCGACGATATCACCCTCTCCGTCGCCCTCTCCCGTAGCTACCATGACGTGCAGCCACACTCAAGTATCTAGTCAAGACTTGGCGTCGCCAGAGTCGAACGGCCAGACGGTCATGTGGGCGGTTACCAGTATATCCAGCGTGCCGCCCGGCAGCATAATCATAAACCCGCAGACGAACCAGCCGTACACGAACGCGGACGGCAGCATCTACCGCTTCGACCCGGACAACCCGCCAAAGTTTTTTACGATCGAGAATGAGAACGGTAACCTCTCATCCAACTCGGTCAGCAAGCACGCGGAATTAACCGAGTCGTCCAGGACGACGAACAGCTCGTGCAAGAATGACGGCAAGAAGCAGCGTTCGCAGTCGAAGATGAACGTCGCCAACACGACCACCCAAGTGACGAATACGGCGACGTCGCCCAGTCTGCCGTTCACGCCGCCGCCACCGCCGCCGCCGCCTCCTCCGCAAAACCCACCCATTCCGCAGCAGCAACCGCAGCAACAGCAGCAACAACAGCAGCAGCAACAACCACCGCCGCCGCCGCCGCAACCGCAGCAAAGTCTAGTCAAATCGTCACCAACGGTGCAGACGTGTAGTCATAACCAAACGGCTCAACCGTACGCGACCTATGTACCTACCTCAGAACCGTACAACCAGGGTGTCTATCCGCCTCCTATGGGGCAACCGACTGTGATGATGGCGCCTCATCCGACTCAGGGTCAAGCAAGCGTACAGAACGGCGGCCAAGGGGACGTTCTCTTCAATCAGAACCAGCTCTATGCCAACTACGCGGTACCTATGCACCAAGGACCGCAGTCAGGGGTGAATATTTCTATTGTGAACTTGAGCATGTATATAATCTCGACTACCATTTCTCGAGAAATTCCCAATGATCAACATTGAGGATTAATAGCGTTTAAAAAAAAAAAGAAATATCATATTACTTTGGCTTACAATACCAGGAAGGGACTTGGCTTACATTTCATCTACCTCGTTCACTCTCATTTACATATTTACTGTTATCCTTACAATTACCTCTTATCCTATAATCCTATATGTCTTTGGTTTTGCTTATCAATATCTTTAACTCTCACTTCTTACTTCATGGACTAATAGCGTTTATAACTTTTTCTCTAGGACGTGGCCGAATTGTCTGGCTATTTCTTGGGGATGAATATCTACGATCAGCGCGGCGGCGGAGACAACCACTCGACACCGCCGCACTCGTATCCGCAACCACCCACGAATCAGACCGTGCAGAATGTGCAGACGGTGCAGCCGAATTACTGGCAACCACCGCCGAATCAGATACCGGTGAGTGTTGGGAAAGAGAAAGCGAAGAATATGAAAATATCTCGGAACTGTGCAGTTCGTGCGAGAACGACGATTCTACAGCGGGGAACAAATTCCTTTCAGCCCCAGCAAACCATGTACTTCGTACCTCCGCCCGGAACGACGATCTCAGTCGGCCAGAATCCGGGGGACAGGCAGCAGCTGCATCAACAACAGAGGTTCCCGACGAATTATTCCTTCAACGCGCAAACGATGACTCCTCCGAGCCAAGCGAATTGTACGTGAATCTTTTATATTGTATCTGTCGAAACACATTCGAATCTCGCTTTTATAATCGATGCCTCTTTTAGCTAATTACGTGGGCAGTTACCCGGTACCCTACAATTCTGTGCCGGCGGTAACCCCGTCACCGGGCGATTATACGTATCAACCTCCGGTCCATATGGTTCCTACGTATTATCCGCCGGGACAACCAGCAGCAATGCAACCGCCGCCTGTGATGTACAGAGTACCGACACCACCAAACACACCGACGTCCAATCAGGTAATTGCTCGATAATGACTAATGATCTCTCACGACACCACAATGTGGCGTCTCCGTGTGCTAACGAATCGTTCGGTAATTAACAGATACCCGGTATGCCGTTGATGTACGTCAACTCGAGCAGCTACGCACCGCCAGTAATGTCCGGCGGCACATTTGGACACCACCAGGTCGCTCACAATGGCACGTCCCCGGCGCCGCCCGGCGCGTACATGGCATCCACGCTGGTTCCCAATCTCGTCTTCAGACAAAACGTTCCTGTAAGTAGATGACGCAACGTTAGCTACTAACCAACCCGCCGCTCGTATCGAGTTCGCATTGATGAAAGATGTTCGCCGTCAATCGACAGGTCGTTCCCGGTGTTCGAGCCACAACGCCAGGTAACTCCCAAAGAGCGAGCCGGTCCCCGACTCCGGCGCACGAGCTCTTCGGAAGTGGGAACGGGGACAGAAGCGCACAACCACAACCGCGTTACCCACTGCCAATGTATCAGGGTGTCCATATCGTGCCAGGTACCTTGAGATGCACTCACGCACGGTCGTTCGACTTCTCCTCACAGAATTCGTTTCTAAACGAATCCCTCAACACCATAGGGGATATGAGATTGATGCATCCTGGCGTACCAACCAATTCACGGTTGCAGTATGCACCAGTATCATCACCGCCTGTTGTTCAAGGCTGCCCGCGGCCGTACAGGCCGCCCTCGTATTCATCCAACACCTCGGGAGGCGGCACTCCAACTTCCTTCGACGGCAGAAATCAGAAAATTCGCAAACAGAGGTAGTCTCAGAGTTCCCATCACTTCGAGGTGTTGGTATGTAAGCGTTGTCTCGCTGTTACCGGTGAAATTCATGCGCTTTCATACGACCCGTCCAGGTCCAAAGTAGCCACTTTACCACCGACCGGCGCGCGGCCCAATCTCTATCAGGCGCCCTCCGTGCCGTCGCTCGCGCCGAACGTGCCCAAGGACATCAGAGAAGGTATGAACGAAGCTGGTAATGCGCGCTAGAGACAGAAAGTGACTCGATGTTCGCGCTCAGTACGTCGCTTAAAGGTTTCGTTACTTTCTGCTTTCATTTCCGCTTATGAAGGATCTCAAGTGTGACACGATTTTGACACATTCTTGTCTCCCTTTAAAAGCGAAACCTATGGAAGACAATATGATATAAGGTACAGAACTTAAGTATAAAATAACCACACAGAATACAATGTCTTCTTCGTACGATAAGGGCTTCTCCACCCGTGCGTTAATTCATCTTTCTTGATATATTTGGCGTTTTTCTTTTTTTTTTTTTTTTTTTTTTTTTTTTTT